AGACAAACAGAATTTCTATTATATGTGTTCCATTAAATGTTATGTGCATTACCGCCACACGCAGTCTTCACAATTAAACGGAATTAGTTTACTTGACGGAACAGTGGGCAGAAAAGAGACAAAAGCAAAGAAACAACACCATTTGTGGCCACATTGATGGGTTGTTTTACAAAAATATTAACACACATTAAACCAATAATTCCCCAATTGTCAGAATCCGACGGTTTATTTATTTGCTCATTTCGCTCAATCGCATAGTTTCATCTGAATTGCTAACGGATACGATTCCCTGAAGCCATACAACCGCAATTTTATTGTTAAAGTTTCAACGAAAATATGTAAATATGCGATATTTGTACTTTTGTATATGTATGTGTTAATCTTGTAAGTGAAATATTTCACAAATTATTTATTGAACAGACAACATTTTGTATACATTTGTCTTCGAAAGTTGCTTGGGTACGCATAATATACATATACACATTCAGTCTTTACAGAGATGAACAAGAGAACAAACAAACAAACAAACAAACAAACATATGAATAAATGAAAAAAAAAAAAAGTAAGAAAAAGTAAAAAAAAATGAAGAATAACAATTTTAAAATTTACTTATACATGGGCACCTCTACACACACTCCTGCACTACTGCAGGCATATGTATAGAAAAATGCATAAGTGATTAAGTCATTTTGTTCGGCATGAATATTAAGCAAATACACACACACACACACACACACGCACACACACATGCCCATATTGATTGTACTCATTTATCTGCATACACTACATATATATATATATATATATATATATATGTATATATGAATAATTTAAAGATTTGTTCTTCTCATCGTAGGAAGTTGCATGTTTATAACAATAACTTAACGCATTAAAAAAAACAAAAAACAAAAGAGTACAATAGTAAGTGAGTCCGTTAAGTAATCAACTTTTGAGAAATGTAAACAAATAAACAAACAGAGTAAAAGCGTAAACTGAAACACAATTGAAATTCAATAAAGTAGTACAATAACACAAGCACACAAGCGCCGGATACATAGTTGTTTGCAAGCAATACGAGAGAAATTGAAACTTGGAAATCAATATAGACAACAAATGACTGAGCAAACGGGTAGACCGACTGGCAGCCCGAATCGCAGGCAGACCGTTACTCAAGCAAACGAAATTTATACTTGCCTACTTTTCTACATATATACATACATATTCATAAACACATAAACATATACGGTTAGTATATTACCCATTGTATTATATAAATGCATACATTTACTGGTCGCTTACCATATTGTGCATTACAAGGCAACGCTCACAATCCGGAATGGAATCCGCAGCACAAATTAGTTTAATTTAGTCTTTCACGCCTATTATCACAGCATCCCCCATAACAAAATTTTATAAACTCTGTATGTGTGTGTGCGTGTGCGTGTGCGACTTCGTACATGAGTGCGTACGCAAGCACTTAAATATATATGTGCGTATGTGTATGCATATATTGTATGTTTTTTACATATATTTTAGGCGCGTTTACGACCATATTTTAAGCGCACACGCCCACATCATTAAATAAATGCTGCACAACGAATGATGGCATGTGATTACATATTTACCGATATCACGTGACTACCGTCAGTTCAGTTCGATTGCATCTCATGCGTCACGTGTCCGGTCTAACAAACATAGACTAAAAAGATTACTAAAAATATCGCAACTCATTTGAATATGTTTTCCATTAACACGTTTTATTGCAATTCATTGTTAATGATAGAAATTTTACTCGCTTACAAAAATAAATAACATCTGTAACGGCAACGATACGCAAAACGCAATAGACATCCAAGAGACAATGAAAATGACAAAAATTATATCTATTTTATAGTTTACTTACACGAACGCTTCACAGACACATATACCAAGTACACTTACTGGTCCGTTATATGTTTGTCTAAATTCTGATCTGTAACTATTTTCTCTAAAGCCATTGAAGTAATGAACGCATTCATTCATCCCTATTTCATTTAACAGATGATATCAAAAATTATTTCTTCCATTCATAACTGATTTTAATATACATTAAGTGATTCAGTTTTTGATCACTTTTATTAGAATCCTTAGGGATTTCTATTAAATCGATGTTTATATCTTAATCGTTTCTCTTCGTCAAGTCACGATGAATTTTCCTTTTTCTTGCTCCGTATTTACGCATAAGGAATTGTTTTTGAAAACATTAAAACCTTATATATAACACATCAGCGGCAGCTTTCATTTATCCGAAAAGCAGCATATGTTGAACAAGTAGCCAAACAAAGAAACTTTCTCAGTCAATGTTCACCACGCAGCATGCAGCAGTCATTTGTGATTCCCCCCCCCCCCCCTTCGCCCCACCCACTTGGATTAATAGAAATTGCACCTGTGTGTTTGAATCACGATAATTAATTACGATAATACAATTTATTATTATTATTGTACACAATAATCTTCCTCTTCGTTTATCCTATACTGTCACGAGAATGAGAACGCGAACTAGTTTTACTTGGTGGTTTTTGATCGCTAGCCACGCTACGCCCAAATATGAGAGATTGAAGAATGCGCATCCAGCAAACATGGCACTCTTTACAGTCGTAAAGATAATCGGATAGTTCAGAATCTAATCGCGAGTATAACCAATTATGTGTAAAAAGTTTGCATAAATCCGCTTAGATGAATTACGTAAGACGATGTTCTCGCCAGCACATTAGCCATGTTATCGAAAATTCGCTTACCATTTGATCCATTTCGAATAATCATAAGATTGCAATTTTTAAAATTTTATAATTTTTTTTTTTTTTTTTTTTTTGGAAAATACGCAAAATATTTCTTACCTCTCTGCACTAAAACGGATCTAAAAGAAGAAGCGAGAAAGAAGAAGAAATTTTTCGAACGACAATTAAATCATAATCGAAAATTGGCATAATATGGTTTCGCAATGGTATCTACTCTAGCAATAGATTGCTACGATTCTGTCGAGAATGTATATACACGACAATCTCGGATTATATTACTAATGGGACCAGTATACATTTCGATAGCATCGTTAACAAGCATGATTCTCTGTCGTTAGCCTATAAAGCTCATAGAAATTGAATTAAATATGCACCATTTTGCTTATGTAAACTTAACTATATATTAACCAGAGGTTAAAATGAAAAAATTGAAAGCGACGAATAGTTTTAACAAATAGTTGAACAAAAGTCCTTCTAGTTTGATTGACACTAATATATATGACAAAGTTGACATAGCTGCGCGCTGTTGAAATGAACAGACAACTGACATTATGTTATTGAAAATAATAACAATAATAATAATAATAATAATAATAATAATAATAATAATAATAATAATAATAATAATGATAGTAGTGATAATACTAATAATAACAATCTGTAGTCCTTGAAGAAGAAAAACAATAGCAAAAAAAAGCAAACTTTTTAATCAATTTATCAGTAAAGCAACTTATCATAGCGCATTAGTTGACGTTGAACAAATTATTTCATTTTACTAGAGTACTTAAGTTAATTGTCGCATCTTCAAAGTCCTTACTATTCAGTATTTCCAGGAAGCGACGACTGCGATTAAGTGATACGAAAACAATGAAAAGAAAACGCATTGCATTTTGATTCTTTTTTTTTTTTTTTTTATGTATTG